CCACCCCTCTGGCCACCCTTCATGGTCCTTTGCATTGAGTTTGTGGAATATATGCTGAATATATTGAACTTGAATGTAGCTCAGATATGAATTTTTCTCTTGTCTGTCCACCATGCTTTCCATTAATGTCAGTACATCTTAAATCAAGAGATGATGCTTGAGCGCAAAATCAGAGGGTTTTTTCTGGGCTATCCAGTCATCTCTCCTTGTGACTGCTATGTCACAAGCTGTCACTGGTGTCCCTTGTGTCATTGGTTTTCATCACTAATTATTAGAGAAAAAATCATTCTGCCTTCCTCCCTGTGCTTGGAAATTGGATGGAGCGGTTGGGTCCTAAAAGTCACCCAGACAAAGGTTGATGTGTTACTATTTCCTATGCATAAAGATGTGACGCTAAAGGAATAACAAGGCTTATTTTGGATTGAATGGGAGGTATCTTCCTCTGCTTCTTTAGTGCCAGCTATGACTCTCCGTTCCACTACACTGTTTGCCTTGGTGTACGTAGAAAAGGAAAAGCACAGGTGTGAGGAAGCTTGCGTTGTACAGCAGTGTTATCTACAATGCAGACAAGTGATTTATGATTGCATGTTTCATGTAGCAGGAATGATATTGCCAGAGGTAAGAATAAGGAGGAAAACTCAAGCTTGCTTCAGGTGACATCGTGCAAATAAAGAGGATCCTTTTGAGTTTTCTGGCAAGTCTCATCAGGATAGTCCTACAGCAAACAGGGAAATGCAGCTTTCCCTTTGGAGTTGCTTGAAACTGCTCCAGAGCAACCACTGAGTGCTCCCTGAGATCTTGATAGGCAGCCAGGCAAACTGGTGCCATAGAGCTAACGGTGCTGTGTTCCCTTCTGCACACAGCCTGCCCTACCAGCGCCGTGCGATCCCATACGAACCACAGAGCCACAGAAACATTCAGGTTGGAAAAGACCTCCCGGATCCCAAATCCAACCCCAGTCTGCCCCCAGCATGCGCACTGACCACGTCCCTCAGTGCCACATCTCCATGTTGTGTTCATATGGACGGCTCTGACCGCTCTTCCTTTTGCTTCGTAGAAAGAAACGAGGAGTTCCATAATCAGTAGAATGAATGATGTTTGGAGTCCTTGGGCTCTCTGCTCCCTTCCAAGGACCACGAGGTCTCACTCTGGAGGCAGCTGTTGTGGGTGACAGCTGGTAGAAGGTAGTGGGGGTGTTTTGGAACGCTGCTTCTCATCCTGAGCAGAGATCAAGAGGAAGGAGGAAATCCCTGTAACGTTGCTGGGTTGGCATGAGAACTTCAAGATGAAGTTGGCTGAGTGGTATAAAGTTGCAGCAGAACAAAGTTTTGACGTTGACCTTAATTAATGTTGATACTCAACGTGCAGTCCCATCTAAAAGCAGTCACTAGCAATGCTTTATGAAGATAAATACCTTATGCAGCCATACAGTGTCTGAGCCTTGGAGCAGGGGCATCTGGTCTGATCCAAATCACGCATGCATGGTTGGTTGTACTGGGTGATTTCGGTGGTCTTTTCCAACCTGAATGATTCTGTGCTTCCATACATGTATTCAGCACCCGAATTAACTTTCTCCTCTCTCTATTTCCAGGGTTTCTTTCTGATTAACACACCTCTAATCTCACTGCCGTGCTGTGATGCAGTGCCTTTGCAAACTGTTCTACTTCTTCCATCACTTTCCCTTTAGCTGCTGCCTAAGGACGCTTTCAGATTGAGAACAACCCAAGGTTGGCCTCATTCCGGACCTCTGGGCATGCAGTCACTAGATGGCACATTGCAAAAGCCAATATCCTGAACAACACCTCGATGGTTTTGGTCTGTTAGTATGATCCAAGGATAAATAGTATTCAGTGTGTCCTTAATAGGGGAAAACGCACAGCATCGTCAGTAGTGATTAAGTTCCATAAAGCTGCTGTTATTTTGGACGTGGTGCCATTAGCACATCCAAACCACTTCATTTCTAGGCTTTGGCACCTCGCTCATTGCTAACTTAAATCACACAGCTCAGTGAATCACGTTGTGAACAGTTTTATTGGCTCCATATTGAAAACAAACCAACTTTGAGCTTTGTGACATTCCTTGATGGCTTCCATGTACGTATGTACCAAATCAGCCTGGTTAAGCTTTCTTTTCCTCATTTGGTCTTACTCACATGCACACGTGCCATGGTTATCTGTGGGAGGAATTACACCCAGGGGCGAGTGCAGAACTGCTCTTCCAGCTCTGGAGGAAGGTCTGTGTGTCCATCATGCTGCTGCCAGTCGGATTAAACATTAAACCAATCGGAGTCCCTTCATTTTTCAGTCTGCAGTGGTATTAGACTTTCAGTTTCCACCTCTTCCTTTGTTGCTTTTAATTCCCAATTCCACCCTCGTTGTAGCTCTCCATTACATCTTTAGATGTTGACAAAGTCGTTGAGAATTTTGGTTTATATTTTAATATAATTGTAGAGTATTGTAGAGCATATCATTTAGGCCTGCCTTCCTTGTATCCTCCAGCGAATTCTGTGCTCTTACACTGTTTTCTAGTCCTGTTGGCTTGTATTTTGTTTTTGAATATGTAATTTTTCACCTTCTTGAGGTCATTTAATGTTCATTATGCAAGAAGTGATGCGTTGGCAGAGGCTGCCCAGGGAGGTGGTGGGCTCACCATCCCTGGAGGTCTTCCAGAGCCACGGGGATGTGGGGCTGAGGGATGTGGTCAGGGGGAACGGTGGGGTGGGGTTGGCCTGGGAGATCTGAGAGGTCTTTCCCAACCATATGATTCTATTATTTTATGACTGTCTACATATATGTCAAGATTTCAGGTCCTCTGAGGTCCTTTTAATGTCTTTTAAGTGACTGGAAACATTTTTTTGGCCTCTCCAAGCCAACTTCTGGATAAAAAAGCATGCTGGCTTTAAAACTGTTGTCTCTGAAGTCTTTTTATGATTTCAGCACTTGATAAAGTGACCCTTGCATCACTTGCATCCCATTTTACAAATTTGTTGGTGATGAAGTGCCTTTCTCACCTGTAAGCTGTTTTCCTTGCTGTGTTAACCTGCCTAAAATTCATCTGTTGTGATCGTGTGTTGCAGCAGTTTATATGTTTACCGGGATAAGTCCTTCATATTCTCTCCCGTGTGCATTTGTGTGTCTGGGCAAGGCAAGGCAAGACAGCTCCATAACTGCAGGGAAAATGGAGGAGGTGACTGCGAGTCACTCACTTACTCACTGGCATTTGCTGTGGGAAACCTGTATTTTGTGGTTTCGTAGTGTGCTCGCTTTTTGGACAAGGCAGGCAAGAAGGCAGACGTCCCCTTCTCATCACAAATTTATCACTTACAACTCTTATGGAAAGCAAACGTGGTGTCGGCTCTGAAACGAAGAGCTCCATTGGGATCTCATCTAACTGCAGGTGCTGAGCTGGCAGTTTCACAGCAGATTGTGAAATTTGATCACACAATGGGAAATCGAGCCACTCCTTGAGGGCAGTATCTGGAAACATAATGGGGAACCACCCTTCAAAGGCGATCTGGGTAATAATGGGGCTTAGCAACACTTTCTACCTGCTTTGCTTAGAAAATTATGAACATTTTTAATAGTGTTACTGCTTTTTGCACAAGCACACTATATTTAGATGCACCTCGACTGGTCCTGAGCTCAGACACACCCGTAGCAACAAACTGCCCAGCATGAAAATGCTGCTACCATCACTCCTAAGTGGATGCTATCAGTGACATTTTCCGTTCTCCCCATGTCCTGGTGTCATTGTTTGCTTCTCTCCTCTGTCCACAGGTTGCATCCCTTGGGATGTTTGTTGAATAACATTTGCTGCAGCTGCTTTCTGGTAAGTCCTGAGCCTTTATATACACACACACACATTAATGAACACGGAACACCCACATGATGCCCTGGCCCCGTGACACCAGGTGCTACTTGATGTCTTGAGATTGCCATAAAGATTGCACCTGTGCTCCTGCATGTCGTTATGCACACCACAGCCTCTGAATAATGTAGACTCGTAGAAAAGACTTCAAAGAACCATAACACAGTTTTAAAGGGCTGGAAGGAGAGGCTGATGGGAGATGTTGTATGAATTCAGTGCTTCCTGCTTAGCTAAGCAGTAATTTAGGAGGACATGTAAGCCATGTGCAAGTATTTCAAAGAAAGCAAAAAGCCACCAAGAGCTGTGCAGACTACCCTGATGTAGACAAAGAGTGAGGAAGGGAGAGTTTGGTGTTTTATTGGGCCCTCACACATCATGATCAGCAGAATGAAAGTATTTACACAGGTTGGGTATTATTTGATAGCGATAAATGTGAAGGGGGAAAGAAAATGAATGCATTAAGTGAGCTGAGAAAGTCTGTATGTGAATGAGATCAATTAGCCAGGAGCTCTTCAGTCAAAAAGAATAACACCCTTCCTTCCTGTGCTATGGACACAGGATGTGTTGATGGATATGGATGGTATGGAATGGATATTACGATGGGTTGGTGGTTGGACCAGACGATCTTAGAGGTCTATTTCAACCTGAATGATTCTGTGATTCTATGTTAGAACCCTATCGCGTAACGAAATCAAAACATTGATTCTATCTCTCATAGTCTCTGAAGAGTTAACAGCAGATTATCCTTTCTGGGATCTTCCACAGCAATTGTTCCAAGAAAGCTATCAACAGAGAGGAAACCAGTGCCCAGCAGGTACCAGAACTGTCTTAACATCTGGAACTGGAAATACTGCAGGTTGGTGCATTGTATGCCAATAGGCATCAAAAAAATCCACTATCTTTGTCAGTTTGGTCACTGGGAACCTGTGTGCTACTGCTGAAAGTTGGTGTAAGAGAACAGGGGTTGAACACTGAGCTACACTGGGGGTTTGGAAAGGAAGATCTTGGTGTTGGTAGTGCAAGAAAATTAACCTGTTAGTAGTAATTATGACTTTAATGATAACAAATTCAACTGTGCTAACTTAGCGTAAGGAAGCTCAGGCAAGCCATTGACACACGGAAGACAAGTATATTTACAGTGATATTTGTACATGAGCATAAAAAACAGTAGCCTTTAATTAATCATATACACTTTAGGACACAAGGTCCTTCTCAGGGGAATATTTCTATTCCTGCCATGACATTGCAGACTGTAATGCTGCTTAAACAACAACGGGATGGATGTTTCAGGATAAAAGCAATCCTCTACGTTCAAAACAGAGTAGGCTGTAAATATATACATTTCAAAGTCATAGGATAGGCTGACAGCAAGTGATTTATCTCTTGCCCACAGAGTATACGACATTATGTACATATGGAACATACACACTGGTGCCTGTAGGTGAATATTCACATTAGTGCTGATACACAAACACAGGCATGAAGTCAGTACACAGAGTCTCTCTCCATTCTTTTATATATATATATTTATATATATATTCTTTTATATGTATTATATATATATACACAGTTCTTTCTCATTCACTGCAGGTTTAGGACTTTACATGCAGAGCCTGAAAAACAGTGTAGTACTTGGAGAAAATGCTCCCCTGCAGAGGCAGAAAGTCTGAAGACACCTGGAACAGCTGAAAGGCAGGAGATTGCCTCACCTTATCAATGGGTTGATCTTCCCCATAGATAGCAAGTCCTTTTGCACAGAATACAGCTGTCTCTTAACCACTGCCTCAGCAAAGCTTGGGTCAGTGATGGATTTGCTCATGTTATGGTCCTAATAGGTGCAGTTCTTGATTCCCTTGTGTCACTAACAATACGTTGAGTTTGCCCAAGATGGGTAGGTATTCAGCTTGAACAAGGATGAAGCCCAGGTGTTGATGGCCAGATTTATTGTCAGAACGCCCAAGATGTTGAGTACAAATCCAGCTTTGGCCTGGAATTACAAAGCAAAAATGTTATTAATTGAACTGAATGCTCTTCTTCCTTCCACGCTGATTAGGTTTGTCTTATGTTTAGTTTTTCTGGCTTCCCTCTTTGGCTCCTTCAGACCTCCATCAAATTACATTTAAACTGGTTTCGTTCACAAGATACAGTCTGTAGAATGGAAACTGGGTTTCCATTGGATAGAGCTGTTAAGCTAGAAGTCCTGAAATCCTTTCCACCTGCCTGCGTAGAGCCTTCTCCTCTGACCTGGTATTGGTATCTGGTGTTATATATTGGAGAAGTTACCCAGAGACAAGACATCCTTGTCCATCTTTCTTTGTCATACTGAGATCGGGCATCAGGGCAGCCTTGTGAGAGGTGCAGGCTTTGCCTTGGTTACTGCAGAAGGATCATACAGAGTGCACACCTTGACATCCCTGATCGTATCTACACGTGGGCTTTTGGAACAGATACACATTGCCACTTCTGGATGCCACTGGAACATCTTCAAGAGGTCGTGAATGTTTTCTTAAAGCTCAATAACTTCTTGATAAGGCTGTAAATGTATGCTTTATTAGTATATAAAGCTGGACCCCACATATATAGAGGGACCATTAATTCAGACATTTATATTTGTCTTTCCATTTGACGTCAGAAGGGTGAGTTTTCTAACACTCTTTCAAGAAGAACCAATATTGGGGTGGGAGGGGGAAAGAGGTCAAAACTAGTGATGAAAATGATGACAAGAATGTGTTTTTCTCACCATGTCTATAACCTTGAGATGTCCGTATGAGAAGACAATGGCGTTGGGGGGGGTGGCCACTGGGAGCATGAATGCCAACGATGCCGAAAGTGTGCAGGGCAGCATGACATAGAGTGGATTGAGGCAGATAGATTGAGCCTAGGCAAGAAGGGAGAGCACGGGTGATGGTTTTGATACACAGAAATGCATAGAAACCTTTTGGCAGAATATTAATTGTGTTTGTCCATGCCAGAAATTGTTTCTTTCACAAATGTTGTAACCACTCATACGTTGGGTCTGCTTTAGCAACTTCTACTGAACATCTTTGTGCAGCAGCAGCAAGAATTGGTTTTGTGGTCAATGCTTTGTGTTCCTGATTGTGGATTTTGAATCACTGCTAAGGTATAAATTAATAATAACGACTGCATTAGACTCAAAAACCAGGAAAGAGTATAAGGGGCCTTCAAACAGATTGTGAGCAAAACTAAATTATCGGTGGAAACTCTGAAGGTGAATGGGTCATCTCAAGGATTATTGGAGTCTGTGTCCTATGCAAAAAAAAGGTTTTGGTGGTTCTTACTCCAGTGTCAATCTGGAGCCACCATTTCATACTGCAGAATGGCATCTATCATTGCAACAGGAGTTTCCTGGGGAAATTCTGAATTAGGTCACAGAGCCTGACTAATGCTATCGTCTTTGGACTTCTGGAAGGCCAGTGGTTGGAGTGAAATACAGTAATGGAATGTTACAGGGAAACAAATGCTGCTGCTGCTGCTCTCTGTGCAGAACAAATAGGAAAAAACGAGTACAGCTGGCAGTGACCTCATGGGGTTATTTAGGCCAGAAGGCAAAGTCTACTATGCCCATGAGTTTAATCCTTTTACTTTTCCCATCAATGATTTTAGGAAGGTCGAGCTGAGCGCACAGTGTGTGTGAATTTATAAGCATTCACATACATATGTATTTATTTAAAGTCTTGCCTCCTGATCAGATTACATGAGCCAGTGCTTGGCGGTGTCAGCCAGCCACCTCTCACCACTGAGCATTCCCCTGCCTGAAAGCTGCCTTTACGAGGGCATTCTGAACTCACCATTGAAGCCAGGATAGGGAGAAAGAGGGTGGTGGTGGCCACGTTGCTGGCACACTCAGTGAAAGTAGCAATAAGGAGACACAACACGAACGCAATGGCTGGATGAGGGATGTGCTCCAGAGGAGTGAGTTTGGTACCCAACCATCCGGACAGACCGGATTCCTGTAACAGAGGAAAAATGCTTGTCAGGATAGCAGGCTGAAGAAGAAGTACCCGTATCACAGTCCAACCATGTTTCCCTCATCAGTTCTACCCTATGGAATTTCTCATACAAACTTCTTTCTGTAGAAATGTGTGTGGAGGCTGTAGGGACTGCGCGGGAGACGCATCCTGGAAGTGTTATCTTCTGCCTGCCACACTGATTAAATTGCATTTAATAGAGTCTTTGGTGTAATGGGGTATTTCCTTAATCACCAGTCTTCTAGAAACACAGTTAATTGTGCTGCTGTGCTGCACCGTGTTGTTGGCATGGGCTACATCTCTTCTCATCATAAGACTGCTCCTAAGGATGAAATCTGTCCGACCGCCACGTGTGTTTGGTGCTCCCAGCGTGCCCTCTTGTGTTCTGGGAGAGCATATGTGAAAAGCAGAGGAGAAAACACCCACAGAGAGCAGGTAAGCAGAGGGGTGTTACCTCACTGCCTTTGGCCAAGGCAAAGCCACCACCCAGCAGGAGCACGATGTTCCATGGCATTTTCTTGTGAACTACTTTCCAGTTCAGGAGAGCTGGAGGTGCTCGGATCTTTGTCTTGCTGCCTACAATCCCAACAAGAATTGGTTGTATATTATGTTCTCCCAAGAAAGAGGTGCTTGTCAGTGAGAAGTAGGCTTAGCTGGAATACGAGGACATTTCTGTCAGCAAGATCAACGTGGCTTTGGGATAGTCACCGAAAGTGAGTGAGGAGATTTTAAAACTTGATGTGCAAAAGTATTAATGAATAACCTGCAATTGCTTCAGAAAGCAAAGTAGAGTAGATGAAAAGTAAGAGTGGGTTAGAGGAATGGCAACGTATCCACAGAATGGCGTCTTCTCCCATGCAATTAGTGATAGGATGAGAGGTAATGGCCTCAGGTTGCACTGGGGATGGTTCAGGTTGGATATGAGGAAACGTTTCTCCAAAAGAGTGGTGCTGCAGTGGCACAGCTGCACTGGGAGATTGAAAGTCCCCATCCCTGGAGGTGTCAGAACTGTGGGGATGTGGCACTGAGGAACGTGGTCAGTGGGCATGGTGGGGTTGGACTTGGAGATCTGAGAGGGCTTTTCATGGGACGTATGCCGAAAGCATAAAACTTCACTGGAAGAGCAATTTGAAATTTCTTTAGTGAATCTAAAATATAAGGTTTCCAGCGTAGTTATTCTGGCAGTTGATGCCTTCAGTAAGCTTACCTGTCTGCTTCTGGATAGAGAATTCGGAAGGGATGATGAACAGCAACAGTGAAATGAAGATGGCAACTGTCGCATCAGTGACAAAGCTGCAATGGATCAGTCAGAAAATTGGTGGTGTTTTAGGTGCATAAGGAACTGAAGAAACTGAATAATGCAATAACAAGTGCAAATTTTACTTCTAAACTTGGTGTGATCATGGAAGATCCCAAATTGGAAGGGACCCTTAAGGATCATCAAGTCCAAATCCCGATGCCACACAGGACTACCCAAAATAATGCTACTGATAGATGTTACTGTGTTCATTCACAGCCTAGGCCAGGATACATAAGCAGGGAATCCTCATTAAAGATCATCTGGGAAGAGAAAAGCTAGGCTATGCTTTATAATTCAGTTGTTTCCTGATACAATTTTGCTCAGAGCAAGGAGGAGAGGTGATGGTACCTCGTATCATTTTTGTTGAAGAGAACTGTTGCCCAGCCAGGTATGAAACCAGGGTCTCTTGTAAACCAGAGCAGTACCAGCAGGATGAAGAGGACCAGGACTGCAATCTCTGCAAATTTCATGGAACCCAATTTCTTGTTCTCGTCCTTGATAATTTGATAGGCCTGTTTCTCCTTGGTCTTTGCGGAGGGATCTCTCACACAACCAAAATTCTTCTGAAAACTAGAAAAAAAATGGTCAAGAAATATCAAAGAAATTTGCCAGATGTCTTAAGAGTTGAGAATCTGGACTTTGTAACTCAGACACATTGTGTTACGTATATATGTGTGTGTGTTAATAGAAATTATATATATAATGTTGTGACATCAGCAGCCACAGATGTAGATGATAACTGTGTTGTATTCTGTGCTGCCAAGATTAAAAAAAAAACCCAAAAACTTTCCTGTCCCTAAAACCTCATTGTCAGAGTGTGATACACACAGGGTAATAATGACAAGAGCAGTGTGACTGGCACTGTGTGATCACCAGGAAGCAAACAGCTGCCGAGGTTTTTAAAATTACAGAAAAGGAGGACTTACAAATAGGACCTTGAGGAATGAGACAGCATTTCAGGTATTGAGAAAGCTCTTTCCAGTTGAAAGAGGTTAATGCCAAAGTGGTGGTCCAAGTGTCACATTGGCAATGAAAGCTGTTTGCATGGGGTGTTGACACAATGCTAATCCCGCAGCTCCGCACGACTTTCGTCAGGAGGGAATTTACCAGCTCTATGCAGAAATCAATTTCCTGGTTTGAAGCACAGCAATCTTCTAGGACGTGAAAGCAATGCAGCAGAACAGGTTGTGTGCAGATGGAGCTCCTTGTTTCCAGCTATGGAGTGTACTTTGCTGGGATTTCATCAGGTTATTGGAAAAAAAAATTGCAGTATTTTAACAGATACTCAGTGTGCAGTGCTGCTGGTCTCTGTTGTATCTGAATGCTTCTCTACTTGGTGTGTAAACATCAAACATAGGCTTATCAGTGGAAGAATCACTCGTGGTACAGTATGTAATGAGTACTTAATAACAGACCTGTGCTCTGTGCTCTAGTATGAGAAGGGTACTTACTTGAAGCCCAAGTACAGAATTTGCAGCCAAATCCAGGCCAAAACCAGCAACAGAACCATGGTGGGAAAAGCAAAAGAGAACCAAGAGGCAAAGTTGATGACGTTGTCATTGTTGGGAAAGATCCTGCAAAATGTAGAGGTCTGTCAGCATCCCAAACTCTGCAGTCTCTTCTGTATTCAAAAACAGGAGGTGTTTTGAGGCTCCCCAAGGAAGAGAAGCCAACTTCCCTGCAGTTAGCAAACTGATATTTTCCTTCTGTGTATGAACTAGAAGTCAGCTGGAGCAGAAAGATGCATCTTAATGGATGTGTATTCCAAATCCAACCAGACTTACTCATCAACTTGTCCCTTCAGCACCAGATTTGGTGTTGTCCCAGTCAGAGTTGCAATCCCTCCAATACTGGCTGCGTAACAAATTGAGAGAGACATTCCCTTGCAGAGTTTCTTGTGCTTCTCGTCTATAGGGTGTTCACTTTTCTCTTTGCCTTCCTCAACTGCCAGGACGTGGTTATTGCCTAGGTCCCAAGATAGGAATGAGGGGGGTTAGAGAAGCTACATTGGGTAGGAAAAGATCTTCTGTCTATAAAATTCTGTAATTGAAGGCTAAGACACAACGGACTCAGAGCTGAAGGAGCCAAATTTCCTTGTTTTAGAGGCTGGCATTGTTAAATCTTTGACATTCTGTCAATTTTTACTGGTTGTCGGTGAAAATAACCATTTTTCAGGAGAAGTTGATGTGATGAAGTCTGAAGAGACATTGTTGTGTGATTATATATCTTTGGATTAGAGAGATCATTCTTTGGATTAGAAAGATCATTTTAATCTCTAACTTTCAGGCATGAAATAGGCCGGAATCTGTCCCTCAGATGGACTGCTGTCTGACGAGTTACACAGCAGATTACAGTGGAGCTAACATAATATATGAGGAAATATCAAACCTGATGTGAGGTCTTCAGCTAAAGCAGTGCTTATACGTGTTGTTTTATTGAGCTATTGACCTTCATCCAAGTCAGTAGAACTTACTGTGCCTTTGATTCGTGGAAGAGCCTCACGACTGCTGCAGGAACACTCAGGATGCTTTAGGTAAATTCTTTTTCAGAATTTAGGAGCAATGACTGTGCCAGTGAAAAGGCATCAGGACATCCCATCCCAAAGAGAAAAATGCCCAGAGCCCATTCACCTTTTTCCTCCGTTTCTTTGAAGCTGTTTGATTTTGTTGGCTCTTCCTGCAGTTCAAAGGCCTTGTTGTCATTCTCAAGCACTTGGTTGGGTGCCTCAGATCCCATTCCTGACTGGTACAACTGATCCAGAACCGCCTGTGCTATGGGCACCATCATGGCAGTGGTGGCTGTGTTGCTGATCCACATGGACAGGAATGCAGTCACGAGCATGAAGCCCATCAGAAGGCTGAAACAAACAGGTTTGAAGAAGCTGGGTCAGAACTCAGGGCTTCCATGCCCTTTTCTGTTACAAAGCTCTGTTTACAAATGCAAGGTTTGGAAAATACCCAGCAATCAGTTTAAACAATAAGGAAAATGATCTTTTTTTTTCTTTTTTGTAGATTTATCCTACCTCTATCATTTAAGAGTCTCTTCTTACTCATATAAAATTCTAATCCTTGCTGCAGCATTACTCTGTTATTTGTCTCAAAATTATTCTTTAGATGAGATGTAGATTATACATCAGATGAAATGGGTTTTATCTTATATGCATTTTCATTCTATTGCTTTGTAATTTCCTTCTGTATTCCCTCTTCTTATGATCTGGGACAAATTAAATAGGGTAACGTGGCCTCTGCGTGGCTTAAAGCTCCAGTCTGGCAAACAGTTATTCTTTTCAAAACAAGCAACCCCCCATTTTCTCTTCTCCTTGCAATCAATATAGCATTTATAGAGTCGATATCTTCTATATTTCAGCCAAAGACTCCTGACTGTCAAAAGCTGTGCTCCTGCCCAAGCCCAGTAGCACCCCTGACTTCAGAATTGATTTCAGGCAGCGCTGACAGGAAGCAATGCCACGATATCTTCTATCCCACATCGTCTTTGTGGCTGTTACTCACAGGGCTGGTCTGACACCAGTGATGAGCAAGACCCGCAGAGCAACGCGCTTGTGTAGGTTCCAGTTCTCAATAGCAATGGCCATCAGCAGTCCCCCAATAAAAAGCATATTGCTGTCCTTCAGATACTCCCTGCAGACCTACAATAAGGAGCAAGGGGGAGAGAACAGTGATAAGAAGCCATTAGACAGAAAGAAGGTGTTTTCTCAGGGGGGACCTTGTCCCAAAGTCATTAGTATGCTAACTATAGGTTGCATCTGATTAATGAATCTGCTTCAATTTCAGATTAGCAGCTCCACTGTGGGCACAAGCAGGCTCTATCCCATAAGCAGAGTACATTTTCTGCATAACATTGGTGCAGTGCTTTCCTCTTTGATCTGCACTCTGGAAATCCCACCCAAATAAGAGATGACCATTAGAAACCAACATCAGACGAGACCCCAGTCTCTTACTGTTGTCGAATCCATGATGTTCATCATTGGGAAGAGCAGGACGGGAAGGAGGGCTGTGACAGCCAACGGCAAAGCTTCCGTGCACCACAGCAGTGCCATCAGGATGATAACATACCCACATTGGGCCTCCTGAAAGAAGGGAGTGCAGGCAGTCAGAATGGGCTCTACACCTCACTTACGCTCTGAGAAGGCAACAGCCCGTCGTTATACGCATTGCCTGATGAAGGGATTTGGGAAAAGGTTGTTTTCTGTCTTTTCCTCCCATCTGTCCCCCTAACTGCAGATCCTAACCCAGTGACAAAGTACTCAACGACCTTGTCACAACTATAGGGAGAGATTGGGACTTTTGATGGGAGAAGACAAGAAATGGATGACTTTGAACCTTTTATGATAAGATAAGGGATTGGCAGTCCCTGCATAGATGTCTTGGTTTTGCTGATGCTGGTATTTTCTCTCTCTTTTTTGTTGTTTTCTTATTTTATTTTATTTTATTTGTCTTTGATTCGCAGAAGTAATCTTCAATCTAGTCAAGGTTTCCCCACTTTTTCCTCTGCATAATTTAGGATGTGGCCCTGGTGAACCTCTGGTAGGTTCAGCAGCCTGTGTTCTTTGTACTGGAAATACTGTTATCTATTTTTTAAGATCAGATTTTTAGCTCAGTACAGACTTTGAAATGCTGACAAACTGGTCATGGGTCAGTTTCATCTTCCATTGACTCTGAGTTATTTCTTTGAAGAAAGTACAATCTCATGTTTCACATTATCTTTTTGGGTTTTTTTTCCCCAAGGAAACAGACATGGTTTTGCTGCAGACAACCACTCTAAATTTTATATAAGACTATTTAACTCGGCCTTGGGCACCAGAAGGATTCAAAATGCCACATCACAACATGGCATACTGCTAGGCTGCTGGAAAAAAAAAACCATGGGAAAGTGACAGTGCAGGATACAGGGTCTTCCTTAATTTGGAGCTGGCAAAATAATAGGTGCCAGCAGCAGTCAGAGCAAAGGATTTGGGAGAAAAAAGTTGTTGCGTGGTCTTGGATTGAGAATGTCCATTCAAAATACACAGAATGGAGAGAATGAATGAAAGCGTACCAATGTTTATTGACTAAAGAATTAGGAAAAGGAGATTGAAAAGGTGATGGCTTGAGTACAGAGGTTTAAACCAAGGAATGTTTAATGGATGGATGGAAGTGATCTTGGTGGCACATTACCAGGGATGGAAGAGTAATACTGCCAGAGAATCCTGAAGAGATTTAAGGCCTTTTAAGCCTTATCTTGAATGAGAGTGGCAGTAACCTTAACTACTGGTTCTGTCAAGCTCTGAAGACAGTTTCCCACTTTGATGGTCCCTTTTCTCCCTTATTTTATTGTTATGAAGGTGCACCCATGGATGGCACCAATTGGAAACACCGATGGACAAAACCAAGGGCTTATGGTCTGGTAACAGCAACCTCAGGAAGAGATGAAAAACAACGCTCCCACTTCTGGATACTTCAGAAAGTTTATGATCCAAATCTCTTTTAACTTCTTTTAACTTTGGCCTACAGAAAGTTAATTAGCAAAAAAAAAAAAAAAAAAAAAAAAAAAAAAATTTGTCTGTTATTTTCTGTTTGTCGTTTTAGTAAGCTTTTAAGTGACAGTTTAAGCTGTTTTATTTGCATAGCAAGGGAAGGGGAGGACATGCCTGATCAGTTACTGCATTTCTCCTCCCACCAGAGCCACTCCATTGTTCGTGCTTGCAAACCTCCGGCCCAAGCTTCAGAAACTCTCTGACTCATTGGTCTGATGAAAAAGAATGAGTTCAAAAGGGAAAAAAAATAAGAGCAGTGAGGAAGAAGGGGCTGCAAAAAAAAGACAGAGTGAAGAAGGGAGAAGAACTGGGAAGGAGACCAGAAGCTGAGGATCAGCGGGGATCAAAGGGAGGAGGTAGGACTTGGCATTCGAAGAGCAGTAGTGATGGGAGAAGGGATTAGGAGTGGAATGAGAGACCTGAAGAGCAGAGGTTAGCTCTGTCTGCATGAGGAGAGCAGGAGAAATGAGAGTGAAGATTAATCCAACTGCTGGCACTCTGCCTGCGCTCAGTGCTGCGTCCGGGTGATCAATGGCTCAGAAATACCTGCCCTACTGCTACAGGCTTTCACAGCTTACTTCTTCAGAAGGAATGTTCAGCATTCTGTCATTCGAAACGTGACATTTCAAAATTTTACATCTTTTTTTCTTTTTTTTTTTTGGAAGTTTATTATGGAAATAACGATAGGAAGAGTGAAACACATTGCATTTTTTTCCCCGATGTAACAGAGTTCCTTATCTGAGTGTGAGAGGTGACTCTTTTACCTGACAGCAATGATGAGAAAAAAAATACCCAACTCTGAAAGGGGACGTGAATGGGATAATGTTAGATCAGAAAGCAGTTTGGAATCGATCCTTAGAAGGTAAATTAGATTCATGGGTCCCTTCCAGGTCTGGATATGCTGTGATTTTATGAAGAGCCTGTAAGAATTTGCACGTTCTCTTCCAAGGATCTTCTCTAAGGACAGATTTGCTCTCAAATACAGCGTGAAAGGTCCTTACCTTGCTAGGAACAGCCAGAGGCAGTGGTAAGAAGAGAAGGGGCACCAGGATGATGACCAGGTATTTCCTGAAGGCAAGAAGCAGCTGCCAGCAGGGAGCCATGGTGGAGCTGCCCAGTGCTGAAAGGCCCAGCGCTGCTCCCGGGGACTATATAAACACAGAGCAGCATTAAACATTGACCTCTGGCAGCTGGGTGTTGTTTTTGGATGTAATCAGAGAAAGAAGGAAGAGAACAAAGAAGGGAGGGGACAGCAAAAGAGTGTCAGATCAAGAACTTTCTTACAACAGCCTTTCTGATAACTGGTAAATCCGGGAGAAGATTAACTCCTTGCGCCCAAGGCGTTCTTCAAAAGCATCCCGAGAGGTCCTTCGCTTTGTGCAAGTGTTGATCTTTCCTCATGCCTCCTTTCAGTAGGTATCTCCCATAAAAAAAAACAAAAAGAGCAGAAACCTCACAACGATTTTCTTCTACTCTGTTTAAAGGGTGATGGTTCTGGCCACCCAGAACAGATCGGTATGTTATACGAAATGCCCTGGGCTAAAGAGGGAAAGTAATAACTCCTTCTGACTTGGCCTGTTGTGTGTGAAGGCACTGGGCAATGCTTGGCTACAGTGCCAAAAACTGCAAGCATCAGGCGATGGGTTTTTCACCTTTCCTATCTATCAGGTTTTTTAGGCACGGCTGTGGTAGCTCATAGGGCAATTGTTTGTTATTATTATTATTTAAAGTGAATTTGGAAAACCTGGGAAATTGGTGGCAATTTTGGTTCCAATTGCAAAAAAAAACTTCCAACAGTGAATTATTTGATTCTGTAAGTAGACAGGAACTGAGTGGAAGCTGTTAGTTCCAAAGGGAGCATCCTGCTAATGACACCTGGGTGTCTTTATTGGGTAGGCCATGCCTGTGTAGCTTTCAGATAATGGTGATGTTTCCATTTCTTTGGTTTAAATGGCACAGCTCTGTTTATGGCTTGGTCAAGCAGAGAGAGAAGAGAAGCAAAGACCACGGGTCACCTGATGGTAGCTCCACCAAAAGCTTCTGGTGGGTATTAGGAAAAACTTCTTTTCCAAAGAGTGGTGATGCTTTGGCACAGCTGCCCGCGGAGTGCTGGGATCCCCATCCCTGGAAGTGTTTGAGAGCTGTGGCACTGAGGGAGGTGGGCATGGTGGAGGTGGGCTGGGGTTGGACTTGGAGATCTGAGAGGTCTTTTCCAACCTGAATGGTTCTGTGATGCTGTGGTTAACACTCCCTCAGTGGTGCTGGAGTGATGTCAGTTTACATTAACTTGGGATTACCCCAGTTTATGTAAATGGGTTAATCTCATACTCTGAATTGTGTTTTTAAAGTGTTGATTTAAAGCACTTGTTCATTGTTGACAGATCTGGTCTTCGAGGCACCAAACCCTGATTCAGATTGGATAAAAGGAAAAGGTTGTTTAGGATAAGGGCGGTGAGGCATTGGCACATATTGCCCGGTGAGGTGGTGGTGCCCATCCTTGCAGTATCCGGGGTCAGGCGGAAAGGCTCTGAGCACTGATGGAGCTGTAGGTGTCCCTGTGCATTGCAGGCAGTGGGACCAGACTGCTCTTGGGGGTCCCTTCCAACTCCAACCACTTTGTGATCCTATAAAACTAATCAAGCTGATTACACGTTGCTAACTACCCAATTTCCCACGTTCTAATGTATTTTCCCAGGTTCTTCTGCGTCTAAATGGCAGACTACAGCTCGAAGATCAGCACATCAAGCTGGGACTCGAAATATCTTTAATCACTGCTCAGAAACCCCCAAGCAGGGACCCCCAGCAACGCAAAAAGAGGCACGAAAAACGAAAGCCCGCAAAAGCAGCGCTTCCCTCGGATCCTCCCCACTCCCATCTGTGGGGCGGAGCCGGAGGTGGGGCCGCTCTGTCGATCTCTCCGCCCGTTCCTCCGCAGCCATGGCCGCCCCGTCGGAGCCCCCCACCGCCGCTACCCCTCCCGCACCACCGCCCCCCGCCCGCCGCTGCCTCCCCGCTCTCTCCGTGGAGCCTCTGCTCTTCCTCGCCACGCTGGCTCTCGGTTTGCAGGGCCCGCTGGCCACCCAGTACCTATGGGATCGGCTGGGGGCCGAACGCGGCTACGTGGGCCCCAATGGCAGCAGCCCCGACGGCTGCGGGAACGGCAGCGGAGCCGTCGAGCCGCTGCGGGAGGTGGGGAGCGCTGGGGGAGGGCGGCGGGGAGCTGTTGGGATGGCCGTGCCCGCCCCCCTGTCACCGTGCGTTTTTCTTTCAGGAGGTGGAAGCGTCGGTCGCCCATTGGAACCTCTACATCAATCTGGGGGGTTTCTTCGTCGGGCTGTTCTCGGTGACTCTCTTCGGGCCGTGGAGCGACAGCGCGGGCCGGCGGCCAGTGCTGGTACTGCCGGCGGTGGGCATGGCGATGCAGGCGGCCGTGTACCTCCTCGTCATGTACCTGCGGCTGCACGTCGCCTACCTGCTCCTAGGGCGCGTGGTCAGCGGTCTCCTGGGGGATTACAACCTGATCCTGGCCGGCTGCTTCGCCTCCGTAGCCGATAGCAGCGACCAACGCGCCCGCACCTTCCGCGTGGCCATCCTCGAGGCTTGCCTTGGCGTGGCGGGCATGGTGGCCAGCCTTGGTGGTGGCCAGTGGCGTAAAGCTGAGGGTTACATCAACCCCTTCTGGCTGGTGCTCGCCTCCAGCCTCGCTGCTGCCCTCTATGCTGCTCTGTGTCTGCAGGAAACGGTGAAGCAGCGGAGAGCGGCCAAGCTGTTGACCCTCCAACACTACAAGGCTGTCTACAAGCTGTACACGGCCCCGGAAAACCTGAGCTCCAGGAGGAATCTTGCCCTCTACTCCTTGGCTTTCTTTCTTCTTGTCACTGTCCATTTCGGAACCAAAGACCTCTATGTTTTGTATGAACTTGGCTCCCCGCTCTGCTGGGCCTCAGATCTCATTGGGTTCGGCTCAGCTGCCAGCTACCTGGCGTACCTGAGCAGCCTGGGGGGGCTGCGGCTGCTGCAGCTCTGCCTGGAGGACACCTGGGTGGCAGAGATAGGACTCATCTCCAATATTGCTGGGCTGGTGGTGATTTCTCTTGCTACTACAACACCACTGATGTTTACAGGTGACGCAGAGCTCTTAAGTCCTCACATCTTGGGGGCGTAGCTTGGAAATGCCAATTGATCATAGAATCACAGAGTCATGGGATATCCCAAGCTGGAAGGGATCCGTATGGATCCTTGAGTCCAACTGACCAACACAGCTTAGCATGCATGATAGGGATGGGTTGATGATTCAACTCTGTGGTCTTGGAGATCTTTTCCAACCTTAATCTATGATTCTATGATTTTAATTCAACACGTCTTCGGCTGAGCTTTCCCTAATGTACCATATCTTGCTTACAGGTTATGGGATTATGTTCCTGTCCATGGCAGCTACTCCAGTTATCAGAGCCAAGCTCTCCAAGCTGGTCAGTGAGACGGAGCAGGGTAAGGAGTTGGCCTTAAGTGCACTTAAGCCGTGTCCCAAAGCAGTTGTCTTGGTGGGACATTGAAACCAAACTGCTTTGGTAGGTTAGTACTTCCCTAACTGCTTTGGACTCCTGTGCCCATGCATTCACCTTCAAAGCTAGGGTGATGCTCGAAGTTGTCAATATTTATCCATTTAGGCTCACTGCATTTTCAAGATGAGGACAAAAAATAGAAAGCAAGATGGAAAACATTGCGTTCACGCTCAGGAACAGGTCGTCCACTCATCAGTTCGTTTCAAAGGGTCTGAGAAGCAAGAGTTAAACGGATTATATAACAAGCGGATATTAGTGATTTCCCTGGCTGTGACTTTTCTCTGTAGATCAGTAACAGTGGGAAGAAACTTAGTGTTGTTAGAGGGTTGTATCATTGACCATGGTGAAAGATCATGGATAATCCCGAGGAAGATGTGTTTGCCTTTCGTCCAGGAATCCATGAGAAAAGCCTACAGTCGGTGTTACACACTGCATGGAAGTGCTTCTGCAGGCAGGGAGGGGGGAAGTGAGGTGGGATAGACCTGAGGGTGACTTGGCAAAATTGGATTTCTTGCATTATTGAAGAATGAAGGTGGTATACACATGATATTTATGATGCTAAGCCTATAAAATGCAGCCCTCTGCTGCACTTAATGTTTAACAAGCGATAAGATATGCCTGGCAGTAAACAGATTTATATAACCCTTTCTGAAGCATTGGTAATCCAGCTGATAGATAACATCCCTGGTCAGTTCCAGTGGTACCATGCCTGGAAATCTCAGTGTTGGTGTTGCTACATGGCTCTCTCACCATTCACATCTTGTCTCTTTTGCAGGTGCACTCTTTGCCTCTGTTGCCTGCGTGGAAGGGCTGTGCTCACTTGTGGCTACAGGGGTGTTCAACTCCCTCTACCCTTCCACCTTGCACTTCATGAGGGGATTCCCCTTTCTTTTTGGAGCCATCGTTCTCCTTATTCCAGCAGCTATCATGGGGTAACTTACTTCAGATTTCTAAACTGCCATAGAAATCGTGGAGTGTAATATAAGAATGATTATTTAGTCTTAGGATAAGTGCTCAGCAAGGCTTCTTTTCAGTTATGCATATGGGAAAGGGTTCAGTGCCCCCATCAGCAGAGATGCAGGTTCATTTCACAGAATAATAGACTGTATTGAGGTTGGGAAAGACCTCTAAGATCACCAAGTCCAGTCGCCAATCCATCACCACCATGCCCACTAACCATGTCTCTAATTTCCACCCCCTTTTCTTCTGTCATAAGTCCTTGCGATAAACCTACAGCCTGAGAACTGTGGTGGTCCATGCTCAGAGACCTTCCAAGTCTCATTCCACTCTTAGAACAGAATCCAAAATGTGCAGTTGAGTTTGCACATCTTCCTTTATGGAAGAGATGGAGTTCTCATAGGAGTCTCTGTTCAATTGTTTCTCTGCTGAAGTGAAAGTTTTGTCATGATAAGAATTGAATGCCCTGGAAGAGAAAATACATTGAGGTTTGTGGTAGAAGTGCAACAGCTCCTGGCAGGATCATTTTGTTCTGTTCCTTTGAAACTTTAAAGCTGACTTCATTCAGCAAAGTCTCAGTGTGCCTTCACAGCGCTGACTGTTCTTTATTTCTTTCTTGCTTAGGTGGATAGAAATCCAGGACTCCAACCTTCAGTACAGCCACTTCTCAGATGCTTCCTTGTCTCCTGCAGATGGCTGAGTAGCAGCTTGGCAATGAGGAATTGGCCATTCTGGCAGTGTCTGTCCATGGACTGCTGTTTGTTCTTCACTTGCAGAGCAGATCAGTGTCTGAGGGACACCTTGGTTGTCCTCACTGATTTTTGAATGCCCAAAAGTTGGAAGTCATGGCTCTGAGAGCCAGGGAAAAGTTGACGTGCAGATGTGAATATCTCCTTGCTCATTACAGAGAACCCAAGGGACTACTCAAAAGCCAATCAAGAGTAAAAGCAGTCAGTGGCCTTTTACAAGACCAGTAGTGGTTAGGTTGGGTTTGTCTGGGTTGAGTTTGGTTGGGTTGGCTGGGTTTGGTTGGTTGGGTTGGATTGGGTTGAGTTGGGTTTGTTTGGGTTGAAATTGGTTGGGTTTAATTGGTCTGGGTTGGGTTGGGTTGAGTTGAATTGGGTTGAGTTTGGTTTGTAAAGTGAGGGTGGGGATGGATGATGAGAGAGAGTTGAATTCTGGCTTAATTGGTATTCTGAGTAGCACAGTGTGCAGCAGCTGAGCTGTTGGTGTGGGTGAGGCCCAGACCAGAGCTTGCAGGGTGAGGCAGCCCGACCGTGTTCTGCTTTAAGAACATCTGTGCTCCAAATCAATGTGTTGTGATTAAAAGTCATAGGAATGTTGCAGGCCAGTAGTTTTCCATGGGAGTTCTATTGCTGTCCTTGTTCACTGAGATAGCTTTAGCTTCACAGTGGAGGTCTAAGAAGAAAATGTGCTAGAAGTGCTTGTTGCTATGAGTGCCAATGGTCTGTCTGCAGCTCACACCAGCTCAGGTTGGATATTAGGAAATATTTATTCTCTGCAAGAGTAGTGATGCAGTGGCACAGCTGCCCAGGGAGGTGGTTTGGGTGCCGTGGAGATGTGGCACTGTGGAATGGGTCAATGTGGAAGGATGGGGATCTGAGAGCACTTTTCCAACCTGAATGGTCCTGTGATTCTGTGATTGTGAAATCAAATGGCAGAGCCAGAAGCAGTCCTTCCTCATCAGCCCGTGGTGTGTTGGGTTGAGCTGCTAAGGGAACAGTATAAATGTCTTTGGAAGTAAAAATTCTTTTGTGTAAGGGGCACCCATGATTTTTTGCCAGTGGCTTCACGTCTGCCCTTCTCAGGACATGTTGATGGCAACAAGCAAACCTCCGCATTCGTGGTATTTGTAATTGTTCTTTTCAAAACATTAACTAAATTGCTTCAATCCTATTCACGCTGCCATAAACCACCGGTTCTGTGTACACTGCGTTGAACACAGAGTTCTGATGTCTGCAATAATGTGCAATTGCTTAGTGGTCAGATTACTTTCAGAGTGAATAAAACCCCCATTTTCTTTTATGGCTCTTTGAAAGATTGCTCTCCTCTTGCAGCTGTTGATGAGATTCGCCCTTCCTTACTCCGTCTTTAGCCATGTGTGCGAAATGCTTATGCATCACTTTGTTCCCTGTTCATTAAGAGTGGGTGGTAAAGATAGAATCAAGGAGTGAGGAAGTGGAGAAGTAGGGAACTTTGTGTTACACCGCTCGGTCCGTGTGGCTGTGCCAGTGGATGTAAGTTGGAGTGATGTGGCTTGATTTATGGGCCAAGCCCTGGATTAGCTGCCTGCAGGAGCAGGGCATGCTGTCAGGGTTGCATGTGGCTGAACCTGTGGAGTCCATGAGCCTGTAGATCTACCGACAGATTCCACAGCATCCAACAGTAACAGCTAAATGTTGTGCAGTGAAGTGAAACTGGTGTGCTGGCTCAGCTCTGCTTTTGTGTCAGCGTGCCTGCAACGGAGAAATTCAATAGGAACTGTTATGGTCTATTTAGAAAATTGAAGTTTTTCTAGGCTCCCCTCCAAGAACTGCAAGCAAAGACATGATCTACCTGCAACCAGCAGGTAGAGTCCCTGTGATGCAGTGAGCTCCATCAGCCCATGCAAAGACAGACCAAAATGTGTTTCCCTGCGGAGAATTGTGCTTGGAGAGTGTGCATCACACCCCAGCAGAGGATGAGAGACTGAGACAGTAAGAGAGGAAATGTTTTCTCTGCAGGGAGAAAAAGCATGTGGCACAGAGGTTGAGATTTAGAGTGTAAACCATATTTATTTGTAGAACAACTTTTTGACATGACAAGGGAGAGGGATAAAAAACAGAATGTGTTTATCTCCTTGGAGTGCCTGCCGAGACTGGGAGTGACTGAGGACAGGATGTTCTGTCAAAAGCAGAGTGAGTTCACGAGGGTGAAGATAATCACAGCAGGGAAATGGGAAGAGGTCGGGTGGGATCTCATGCGGCTGAGACACCCGTGTCCAGGGGGCAAGTAAAACTTGTCTGCACTGAGTGGTGCATGGGGAGGAGGAGTGCTAGAGAGCTCCTGGGAAACAATACGAAATCATGTTGTGTGTTATCATAGGAAGGAGAACACAGTGTTTGAGTGGAGGTCCTTTAATGGCTGTGGAGGCCTTGACCTTCAGTAAGTTAGTCAGGATTTTTCCCTGAAGCAGTTCACATGTTGCTTGTATGCTTTGGCAGATTTACCTTTGGGCTCACGAGTGGGTTTCCTCAGCACTGTGTCTGATGTGTGCTGGGCAGATACAGCTATTAACCTTTCACTGGGGAGCAAAGATGCCATTAACTGTGAGCTGATAAGAGCAATCTGTAAAGCTCTGATTAAGCATCAGAATTTACTTTTCGTGAAACCTTCATGGATCTAAGCCAGTAGGTAATGTGAGTTCCTGCTAGTTAGGGCATGTAGTGAGGCTTCAGGGAAAGCAGGGGTGAGGAGTGATGATGGAGTGACACAGCTGCACAGGGAGGTGGGGGAGTCCCCATCCCTGGAGGTGTTCCAGAACCATGGGGATGTGGCACTGAGGGAGGTGGTCAGTGGGTGAGGTGGGTTGGGTTTGGACTTGAGGATCTGAGAGCTCTTTTCCAACCTGAATGTTCTAGACATGTGCCACGGAGCACCAACCACAGAATGAAATACAGCCGGTGCATCATATCTCCATGGTACAGCATTTAGCATCTTCCATATCTGCATGGATTTACTTCCAGAGTCCCAGTTCAGCCTCCCGTGCTGTGTGTATAAATACACCTGACAGGGTGGTAATGCTGAGGTTTCAGACGGAGGGGAGGGTATGGTTTTAAAAGCACTTTTTGCAAAAGCCCTTTGGAAACTTCTCGTGATCTAAAGCCAAACTTCAGCCGGCAGAGCTAAGAGCACAAAGTGGTTTTGCAGCATCAGGAGGGAAAGGCCTCAAAGAGGGGAAGAGCTCTTGTAATAAAGGGATATCCCCAGGGAAGGGAAAGTTCCTGCCCAGTGGTTTAGAAGCCTTGCATGTGTTATCTTCCCCAAACACAGGGACTTGATGAGGGCTTAACTTTATTTGCCCATTCCTGCCTTTACCTTATGAGCACAATGATGAGCTGTTTTCTCTGCACTGGTCTCTCCCTCCTGTGTCCTCTTGCATTGTACCCCACCAGTCCCCCTGCTTTGCATCCTCAGGAGGTGCCACCACTCTGGATGAGGATTTGGATGGCAGCCTGTCCTCCCCAGGGCTGCTACACCCCAGGTCTGCCCCCGGCCTCATCTCGAGCCAGGAGGTGGGTCAGGTCCTGCGGGAGGGAGGGCAAGGAGCGCTACTGGGATGGGGAAAACCTATGGGAGAAATTGGGCCCCATATCAAAAGGGGTCACCTGCGTGTCTCTGGAGGGGATGTGGCCTCTGTCCTGGCTCTAGGTCGGCATGATAGGAGGGGAACAGTCCAAGCCATTGTCTGACCCTGCTGAGGAGTCCCGGGAGGAGCGGCCCTGCAGGAAGCGGATGATTTTGTCGATGGTGGCTTCCTGGTACTCGTGGGACCACCTGTGTTGGGGAGAAAAACAGGAGCCGAGTTTTCCATTGAGATGCCACGAGGCGGCTCGGTGCAGCGCCTCTTTTCTCCACAGGAGATGCGTGAGACTTTGGTCCCTCATGCTCTGAAATTCCTGGAGTGACTCAGTTCCCCTTTGGCCTCCGCTACCTCCCTCGTTGCTATTCCCAACTGTCTCATGCTCTTTATCACTGTTTATGCAAGTTAAGGAGCTAACAGCGTGGCAGATTCCCCTTGCTTACTTGATGCCGTTAAATTTCAGGACAGCCCTCATGTCCTTGGGAAGTGTTTCTGGATCAGGCCACTCAAAATGATCTGTGACGGGGACAATGTTCTTTCCAGAATTCAGGGCTGTCACGATCTCCTGCAGGAACACCCAGGTGCTCAGGGCATGGCCACGTCAACCCATCACCTCCTGCTCCAGCACACCCCGTGTTCCCTGTGTCGCATCCCTCACCTTGTGCACCCAGTCCTTGCAATCAGGGTCTGCCATGCACTTATCCAGCGCGTGGGGCGAGAGGACCAGCACGAAGTTGCGGGCGCTCAGGACGCTCTGGGTCAACTTGTCCTCAAACTTCCCTGCCTCTAACTTCTCCACGTCGATGAACACACTGAAGCCATGCAGCTGCAGGTGAACCTTCAGCAGGCTGAGGGTGAGAGGAGAGGACAGCAAGTGGCACAGTGCTGGAGATGCCTGCTGTCAGCCCAGGCTGCCCAGTGTTTGGGCTCCCTGCTATGACCTCCACCAGGACCACATGAAAAAAGGTAAATCAGTGCCAGAAAGGGGAAGATGGAGGCGATGGGACAGGGAATGAGCTCCTTCACCATGCACTGAGCTCCATTCCAGCACCACAGTGTTGTCCGTCGCACGTGGGACTCACCTGGCCAACTGCGACCCTGAGCTCCTGCGGTAGCTGATGAATACATCGGTCCCATCGGATGCCGTTTGCAAAGTTACAGGAGAATGAAGCGTTTCTAAGCAGAGCCAACAGCAATGAAAACAATTAAAAAAGTGCCCAACCAACCGCTTGCCCCAACCAACCCTCGATGCTCCCGCACCCCTTGCAGCAGAGAGGATGCGGACGCGGTGGAAGCCGGTGCTGATGTGGCAGTCCTCCTGCAGCTGCTGCTCCGTCACGCGGTGCAGGAGGTTGCGGTTGACGCCGCAGGTCAGCAGGTTGTAGGTGTACTGGCGGAACGGGGGGTCAATGCTACCCAACCAGTCGGCCAAGTTGCTGCGGTCGCAGGTGGAGTAGTTGGCGAAAGTTTTCAGTTCTGTCAGCTCCCGGAAAAACCTGGCAAAGCAATGAATGGAGGCATGGAGTGGGGATGGGGTGCTGCTGGTCCAGGCAGGGCCTGGAGGTGTTTGATTCCGTGTCTTTAGGAGAGAGCATACCGACATGTCATGGTGTAGAAGGAAAAATGTAAATGGAGGCAAACAGCCGTGTGGCTGCAGATCCTCAGGATGCAGAGGAGCTCAGCTAAGGGAGGAGGGCTCAGGTAAGTCTGTGTCCTTCTGGGTAACCTGCAGGACCCCTCTGTGGTTTCTGTAGGCCATAGGTGGGAGCACGCCTACCTCTTTCGGGTGATGCTGGAGCCCATCCCCAGATCCTCCTGCAGCTCCTCCTCTGTCAGCCTCAGGAGAATGTCCCCATCCACCTGGTGCTCCTGCCAAGTGAAATCCAGGCTGGAAAGATCCTACCAAGGAAATACAGCTCCTGCCCACAGGTGTCCCTGCCCGGCACAGAGCCCTACCAGGAAGTTTGGACAGAACTTGGTGAATCCAATCTGCTGCAGCCACGTCTGCACCTCGCAGGGCTTCCAGTTGGGAACAGTGGGCAGGATGCGTCGGGGCACCTCCTCCCCTATCAGACGCAGCACCTTTTTGGCCAGGGAGGAGGTGGTGCTGCTGGTGGAGTAACAAACCACTCTCTTGAGGCTCTGCGTGGCCCCAATCTCACTGAAAACCTGTGGGCACAGTGGGAAGAGGCATCACTTGGCTTCCCCTCCTCTTGCCCACAACCTGGCGCTGGGGCACTTAGTGAGCTCAAGGGGCACAGAGAACATCGGGACACGGTTGTGGCATCGCTGCCCTTTTGCACGTCCTTCCCTCCAGCCAAGCTACCTTTTACCTCTCCTTCCAACCTACCCTTTACCTTTGTTTTCTTCTGTCTGGCCTTGATGGCAGCCTCGGTGCACAGGTAGAAGGCGGCGATGCACTGCGCCTCCAGCCGTGAGCTGTCTAGCAAGGGGACCAAGCGCTGCAGGTCCTCAGCTGTCCTGCCCTGGCTGTTGTCACTGCTCCCCAGCATATCACAGGCAAACTGCTCCGGATCCAGCGAGGCAATAAACGGCTCCACCAGAGCCAGCGTCCCTGAGCGTTCCACCTCCTTCTCGATTTCCTTGTTGGTGGCCAGCACAGCGATGGCCAGGCAGGCGTGCAGGCGGATGAATTCATCATCTCTTGAGAACACCAATGGGAAAAGCCACTCGGCCGCTTTCTTCTTGATCATCAGGCGCTGGTTGCCCTGCCCACCATACATGGCACAGTTGGCCAAGGCCATGGCACAGTGCCGCAGCACCACGGGGTCTGTCCAGCGACACCAGTAGAGGATGGCATCCAGGCCCCCGTCAGAGATGAGCTGGGAGCAGGTCTCCTCAGTGTGCTTGAACATGTGCTCCAGGATGCCAGAGACGCTCTGAGCCAGCTGGGGAACGTCTCGCTCCTTGGCTAGGTTCAGGATCACACCCAGACCGATCCGGGCAATCCGGTCCCTGCAGGGAGAAGACCCCATAAGGACCCCTTGTACCACGGTGGTGTTTGTGCCATGACAGCCAAATGTTGATCCGTGGACCACAGCTGCCAGATGTGCTGCCAGCTGCAGAAATGAAAGAGTTCCAGGTGCACGGTGAGGGGTGCACAGCCTCGTGTGCTGCGCTCATCTCCTGCTCCAGGTGAGACACACATAACAATCAGCAGCACAGGGTAGGCTAATGGCAGGTTAGGAATATCACAGAATCACAGAATGGCCCAGGTTGGAAGGGACCTCAAGGATCACAAATCTCCACACCCCACACCCCCCCGCCACATGCAAGGCCACCATCATCCCCATTTAATATCAGACCAGGCTGCCCAGGGCCCCATCCAATCTGGCCCTCCATCCAATCTGGCCCTGAACACCTCCAGGGATGGACGGGGCATCCACAGCCTCTCTGGGCAGCTGTTCCAGCACCTCACCACTCTCATGGTAAAGAACTTCCTCCTGACATCCAACCTAAATCTTCCCTCCCTCAATTTAAAACCATTTCCCCTTGTCCTGATGCTATCTACCTTTTCAAAGAGTTGACTCCCCTCCTGTTTATAGGCTCCCTTCATCATGCTCCAGGTGAAAACTCATTTGCCTCTAAGCCAGAGCTGGCTGCTCCCTGTGTTGCTACCAAGCTGAGGACCTAGCTGAGCAACTGCTGCCAATGACAGCATGCAGCAATGGGAGGTCTGGCCCTGTGCCACCAGCAGCAGCAACTTTGCAGATCAGCACAGGCAGCAGATCCCATCCTAGCCCTGTCCACATTCAGCACAGTCCCCCACACACTGAGACACGGCCACTCTGCAGCCCTGTGCTCTCTTGGAAGGGGACAGCTGGATGGGGCCATGCCCAAAGGGTGAGGAAGGGGGCAATGTTGGGCACTCTGCTGCTGGGTCATGGGCATGAGGTCTAAGCACGAGCAGTTCCAGGCTGGGGGCACAAGCACTTCTGGGAAGGCTGCAGCCATGTGACTGGTGCTGACCTTGGGTTGGATTTGGCAGCTGACGCCATGGAGAGCTCTGGAAACAAAGCCTGCGTCCTGGGCTGGCTGCTAGCCTGGCTGTGGGTGGGTTGGTGACATGGGCCCCACTTATCGATGGGGCTGGGGGCCTCCAACTGTTCCTGGAGCAGCTCTGGCACTCTCCTAGCAGACAGCTGAGTGCTGCATTCTGACCGTGCCACGGAGGCTCCTGGGATTAATTCACTCTAATGGGCTTTCCCTATTTAGCTCTGCTTCTTTGTGCAGCACACAGCAAAGGCTGGGCTGCGAGTCCTCGATCTGGGAGTGAGATACACTGCACACTCGCTGGAGCGAGACCCTCAGTTCTGGCTAGGATTTCTCAGCATGTTCTCTAAGCAACAGTTTGGGGCACCAACCCCAACAAGCAGAGCTGCAAGAATCTGGCAGGGTTTTAGATAAAGGGTTGAACAGTGATCGCAGAATGGGGATCACCCTTCGGTGATGTGAGCTGTGCACTGGGTGGTGCTGGGTGCCACGTGTGCATGCTGATACACGTGCTGGTGCACACCCTCATGCTTCCACCCCATCGGTGATGCTGCTCCAGCACGGCCTGACACCTCTCATCTGTCCCATGGCTCAGCACATTCACCTCCAGCTTCCACAGAGCCATGAGTTGGGTGCTCCTATGGTCACCAACCTACGGCCTGCACTGGTCAGCAGCAGGAAGTCTCTGGGAAATAGCTTCATCCTCCTGCTCCTCCTCCTCCTGCTATGGCTATGGTCAGGGGGCAGCTGTGTCATTCCTCCTTGGAGTGAGATGCCCTGATGCAGACAAACCACCCAGATCTCCCAACAGGCTTCTTAGGGACACCTGGCTGGGATGGCTCATGGAGCTTCCCAACTCCATGCCAGCATCCCCTGTACTGGGCCAACAAGCTGTGAATCCTGCATGCAAGCAGGGGGGAGGAACTGGGAGCACTCAGAAACTTAAGGGGTATGAGGGGCTCCTGATGGACTCACCTGTTCTCTGCCACCAGGATCTGCTCCAGCAGCTGCCCTGCCTGGCACTTGGTCTCCAGCTCGGCCGTGTAGAGCAGGTTGAGCAGCAGGTCCAGGCCTCCCTCCAGGCGGATGGCATCACACAGTGCTTTGGCCACATCCCTGCCCAGCGTGGGCATCCCCCAGGCTTCCTCCACCAGCTGGAATATCTCAGCGATGGCTTTCCCCATCTCAGCAGGGCCCGCAGCCTGCTTGGCACAGGCGATGGAGCGCTGCAGGGCGGGCAGGATCCGCTCCAGAGCCGCCCGTATGTCTGAATTCACCCCGGGGGAAACCTCGCGGCGTTCCCAGGAGCCGCCCGCAGCCCAGCATCCCGCCTGGCTCACGCACTCGGGTACCGCCAACCTCTCCGCACCAGACATGGCGAAGAGCCGGCACAGCCGATGGACGGAGACGAGCAGGGTGAGCACCATCGACATCCCTTAGCGCAGCATCCTCAGGGCCCGCCTGCTGGCACCACCCGGGCAGGACTCTTTTTTGGGGACGCAGGGTGGGGACCCGATGGCAGCGCCACGCTCAGCATCCCGGCTCGCCCGCGGCTGATGTCACCCAATCCAAGCGCCGCCTCTGCGAGGAGGGGCTCACACCGCTGCAGCCCCCCCTTATGCCCAGGGCCCTCCTCTTGCACGCAGCCCCTGCCCAGCCCCGCTGTCTCCATGTCCCCCCTCCCCATATGCCCCGGAGGCTTCTATGGTCGTCCCTGCGGAAGGGAGCGCCGTGGTGGCCGTGGCACCGCATTTTGGACGCGGTGCACATCGTGCGCGGCGCTGAGTAACCGCTGCATGGGAAATTCAGGACGGCTCTTGGGTGGGCTCGGGATTTGCATGATAAAAGAAGGAGCAAGGCACCCTGGGCCCCTTTTATTTCCTTTTTCCAGGCCAGACGTGCTCAGGGCAGAAATGCTTTGGGAGGAGCGGCTTAAATCCTCTGCTCCAAAAACAGCTCAGCCCCAGACTTAAATCCAAGCTGATGTTGTGATGCCACAGAGCTACTTCTAATCTTCCTAGGACCCAGAAGAGACACAGGGACGCAGACATCAGACAGCAGAGGAGGCAGCAAGGAGGCACAGAACCAGTAAGCAGTTCCTTGATAAGTCGTTATCAGGGGTCGTGGTGCTGTGATGCAGGGTTTTTTGCTGTGGAGGGGGCAGAGTTCAAGGCCTTCCCTTTGCCTTGTCCTACAGAGCTTTGTTTTGTTCTGCTTTGCTTCTTGGGAGGGTATCAAGAGATTGGTGGGAGCTGAGAGTGGGGAGGTGGCTGGGAGCCTGGAAGCAGCGAGCAGCTCGGTCTGAGCCTATGGGTAATGGGGTTTTGGTGCTGCCCAGCCTCTGCTGCTGCTCTGGGGGTCCCCAGCCCCTCTGTTTACCCCCACTCTTGGCCATGTGGGTATGGGATGAAGGCAGTGCAACACTCGCTTGCGCCCAGGGATGGTGCCAACCCCAACTGGGGGCAGGAGTGGGGTGAGGGGGCTGCAGGAAAAGCCCTGCCCCGTATCCTGTTGCTCAACCAGAGCTGGGAATACCTCACTGGGCACCAGACCAGAGGTCTTCCGAGCAAGGGAGGGAGCAGCCAATCCAGGAACTGGCTGTGCCCAGCCTGGCTTGGGGAAAGCCCACAGGGCTGTCTTCTCTCCCCAAATTTTGTCACTCGGAGTGGCACTGTGGCCACCCCAGGATGGACATTCCCCAATGGAGCTCTGCCCCAGCAGCACCCCAGCAGTATGAAACAGCCAGAGTGGAAGCGCCGTCACCTCGTGCACATTTGCTCCTTGCCCCCGATTAAATAACCATCCTGCAGTTATCAGGAGCCGCCGAAAGAGCTGAGTTGACATTAATTAGTAACCGAAAAGCTTGGTCAGAAAGGAAACGAGAGGAGCAAAATACACGGGCTTTTGTTTGCCTAGTGTAGCGAAAGTGCACAGCGCTTCACTCTGCCTATGGCTGCTCACCCCAACCCCCTTGGGCAGCGGCCCCATATTCTGTCTGCATCCTTCAGGTCTCCCTTCTTGCTGCCAGGCTTCCTGCAAGGCAGCAATCCCCCAAGCCCTCCGACATGTAAGCACACGCACAGAGCTTTTCCCCAAACACGACGTGGACTGAGAAGGGAGGAGAGCAGGAGGGAGAGCGCTGCCCATCATCCCATGCACTGACCTTGCCCTGTTTGTTTTCTCTGGGGCAGGCTGAGCAAACAGTGGATGCTGGGGCCCCAGCTCCACGTCCTGCTCAGTCACAGTAGGGCTGCGCTCCCGGCTGCCCACCATGAGGCTGCTGCTGCCTGTCCTGGTGCTGGCCCTGCTTGCCTCAACTCGTGCTGCTGAAGGTAAGCCCCAATCCTGCCCTGCTGACTGCCATGGGGATGGGGTGATGGTATGGATATCTCGGGTAAATCCTTGCTGCTGGGTCACGCAGCTCGTTGCGTGGCAGAGTGGGGAGAAGTGCCGCCCGGGTGCCCACGGAGAGGTTGGGGATGTCATCATGTTTGCCTTCACCCTACTGTGCTCCCTCTGTGCTCTTGCAGACTCCTGTGAAGGTCGCTGTGATGAGGGTTTCAATGCCTTGAAGAAGTGCCAGTGTGACACCCTCTGCAACTACTACCAGAGCTGCTGCACTGACTACTCCACTGTCTGCAAAGCCAAAGGTACCAGCCCTGCTGCCATCCCTGTCCCCTGCCACCGGCCTCGGTGGTTCAGGGTTCCCAACAGTGTCCTGTGTCCATGGGGCAATGGCAAGACTGGGGTTTGGCACTAGAGTGCTGCAGAGCTCAATACCTTGGGAAGATCCATACCCAATGTGGGGACGCCTGGGGATCTGTGACCAAGCTGTCCCCTCTGCAGTGATCCAGGGAGATGTCTTTGCCATTACTTCAAAGCCCATAGACTCATTAAGGTTGGAAAGGACCTCTAGGATGGACAGGGCCAACCACCAACCCTTCCCCACTATGCCTGCTCATAGACTAATGAAGGTTGGGCAAAGTCCCGTGACACATCCCATCACACTCAGTGCCCTGGGAGGACCCATAGCTGGCATGGGGACACCTGGGGCTCTGCGACCAACCAGTCCCCTCCACAGTGACACGAGGAGATGTCTTCGCCTTGCCGGAGGATGAGTACCTCGACTACGACCTCCCCGTTGACACTGGCACAGTAGGGCCCACAGGGACACTAGCACCCACAGAACACCCCACAGAACCACGCACGTCCCCGTTACCAACACGGGAGATCAACACGGCCACTGAGGAGACACCGGTAGAGACAGAGGTGCCCACGCTCCACCCCACGACCACCACCACCACTACATCTTATGGGACCAGGAACCCGAGCTTGGAGGATGAGCCTGAGGAACTGTGCAGCAGGAAACCTTTCAATGCCTTCACCGACCTGAAGAATGGCTCCCTTTATGCTTTCCGAGGTACCCACAGCCCTTTTTCTGGCAGCTTAATGTTTCCCTTGCCACCTGGTGCTGGTCACTCAGCTCCCACCCCCTCTTCTTCTCTCTTCCCAGGGAAATACTTCTATGAGTTGGACAAGTCCAGCGTGCGGCCCGGCTACCCCAAGCTCATCAGTGATGTCTGGGGCATTGAGGGCCCCATTGACGCAGCCTTCACACGCATCAACTGCCAGGGCAAGACATATCTCTTCAAGGTGGGCAGAGCTCTCCTGGTCACAGCATCCACCTCCCCTTTCCCTGCCCTGGGACTTTCCACATATACATGGTGGCTTCTGGATGTCCCTACGTATGGTCATCCCCAGCACAGATGTATCCACATACCTCTGGATGTCCCCATATCCCCATGCCCAGCACACCCACACCCGGTGTCACCTTGCCAACTCGCCTGCTCCTCCCCAGGGCAGCCGGTACTGGCGCTTTGATGACGGAGCCCTGGACCCCGGGTACCCACGTGACATCTCCGAGGGCTTTGAGGGTATCCCCAATGACATCGACGCTGCCTTTGCCCTCCCAGCACACAGCTACCACGGCAATGAGCGAGTCTACTTCTTCAAGGGTAACACAGCCAGCCCTCCTGATCCCCACGGAGGCCATGGGCAGGATGCTGCTCCCCCAGCTGCTGCTCAGCCCCGAGTACCACAGTGATACCCCATATCCTTCCTCTAGGTGAGTACTATTGGTCCTATGACTTCGCCCATCAGCCCACGCAGGCCGAATGCGACGAGTCCTCTCCCTCCACGGTGTTCAACCACTACGCCTTCATGAACCGTGACAGCTGGGAGGACATTTTCTTTTCCCTCTTTGGTAGTAGGATGGGTAAGTGCTGGGACATCGAGTCCAACCGCCCATCCCTCCCGACTGTACCCATTCACAGAATCATAGGTAGAATCTTTAATTTCGGAATGGACCTCCAGGGCCATCGAGTCCAATGGTCAACCCCTCCCCGCCGTGCCCCCTCGTACAACCATGGACTCATTAAGGTTGGAAAAGACCTCTAAGATCACTGGGTGCAAACACCAACCCATCCCCACCACATCCACTCATAGAGACATTACATTTGGGCAAGATCCCAGTGCAGATCCCATTGCGCCAGGGACCCTTTGGAGCATCCCTGTGCCTCGGGGCAGGCACTGCGGGATGTCTATGGGCCAGATGCCGGTGCCCACGTGTTGCTGCTCTCTAACTCATGCTTTCTGGCAGTTGGGGCGAGCAGCCCACGGCTCATCAGCAGGGACTGGCGGGGGGTTCCCAACGGACTGGATGCTGCCATGGCCGGCAGGATCTACGTGTCATCCCGGCAGCCCCGCAGGAGGAATTCCCGTCGCCACCGCAAGAGGTACAGGAACCATCGCACTCTGAATTTGGGTTTCTGGGGCTGGCTGAACAACGATTCCGAATCTACCGACACCGAAAGAGACTGGCTGTCAGGATCGCAGTGTGAGACCCTACAGAGCGTCTACTTCTTTGTAGGCGGTGAGTCTGGAGGAGAGTTGCCCCCTGGCACTGGGGATGATTTGGGACAGCGCGGGGCTGGCAGCGAGGTCTGACAGCTCCTTCTTACCCCCCCCCAGACAAGTATTACCGTGTCAACCTGCGCACCAAGCGCGTGGATCTGGTGCAGCCCCGCTACCCGCGCTCCATCGCGCAGTACTGGCTGGACTGCCCGCAGCCCGATGAGGAGAGCACCTGAACAGGCCCCACCACGGCCACCAGCAGCACGGCACCTAGCTAGACCCAAATAAACCACCAGCGCCGTGTCCGCCTGTCTGTCCATCAGGGCGAGGTCTGTGTGTTGTGCGGTCGCTGTAGCACGCCGTTGTCCCCCAAGTGTCCCTATCACGGTGAGTGCAGCGCTCAGATCAGCTCCTCCAGCCACTCCAAGGCCTCTTCCCACTGCAGCACAGGGATGGCTCCGGCAGCTGCGAGGCAGGAGCACTGGGGTCAGGTCTGCAGCGTGCTGGAGTCGGGCTTGTAGCCCCACAGAGCCTGACCCCACCTCTGGGCTCTGGTGGTCCTGGCCACGGTGGGGCTGAAGGGACGACCCTTCCCTCTGTGCCTGCTGCCTCCTGGCTATCCCGTGGCACTGCGTGCTGCCGCAGTGAGCTCCAGCTCCTGCCCTGGCTCCTGTTGTGAGGATGCATGAGTGAAATCCCAACCTCCCCACAAGTCTGGGATTTTTTTTTCCTCGCTCTCAGCTCTCACCGCTTTCCCTTCTGCGGCCAACAGCTGGGCATGGTGCCATCATCCTGGGCAGGCAGCGGGAGGCTGGCACTTCCCTTGTTGGGGACAGGCAGTATGTGGGAGCCAAGCAGAGCCATCGGGTAGCCCCCGCACCCTGCCACCCTCTGTAGTGGGACTGGTCCTACCTGGGACACAGTGGCATTGGTGCAGCACTGGGGGCAGCTGGAGGCAGGAGGCAGCTTCTGCAAGAGGCAGAGGGCAGTGGGTGTTGGTACAGTGTCACCATGTGTCATGCATGGGGTCATCAGAGACTCACCGGCAGCCGATGTGCAGAGGTGGGCATCATGTTGGGGTGCCGGGGCCATGAGGGGTGGCTGAGTGGGATGTGGATGCTCCGGTGTGGGGCCTGGCTGTGGGATGGGATTGTCGGCATGTCACCACTGCTGGGGCCTGGGAGCAGCTGGGGCTGCCTGGGGAGCAAAGGGAAAAGAGCAGGGCAGCAGAAGCCTCTCTGAACCCCGCAGCCCTGGGAGAGGCACTGACACACCGGCTGCTGGAGACCCTCTGCTCTTGGGTCCCGTGTGTCCCGAAGGACCCCCATACCTGAGCTGCTCATTTTCCACCACAAAGTCCCGCAGCAGGCCATAGAGGCTGGGCCAGGCTGGAGCTCCCTCCGCTGGGAGCTGCCCTTCAAGGGGGGGGCAGTTCAGCCCCCCAGGGCTGTACCTGCCCACCCAACCAGGCTCTGGCACCTCCCTGCTCCTGGGCAGGCTGAGCTGCTGCCGCAGGGAGAGATTCTCCAGCTGCAGTGCCCGAATCTCTTCCTCTAAGGTTTGCAGCAGCTTCTCCCGAGGCACCTGGGAGCACCAGGAGATGGATCAGGGTGGGGGTTCCACGGTGGGGGCTGAACATCCCCCCCCTTCCCACATCCGTACCCTGTTGGCCGTGGGTCTGGTGGTGACCCTGCGGGCTCTGCTGGCGTAGTGCAGAGTGTTCAGCGTCTCTGAGAGGCAGCGCGAGGATGGGGAGATGCAGGCGACCTGCCAACGAGTTGAGCCACCCTGTCCCCATTCAGTCTTCCCCTCTGTGGGCCTCCCTGGCTCCATGTACCTCCTCTCATACCATCAGTGTGACCCCTGAGCCGCCCAGTGAGCGGGCCAGCAGCCGGGTGAGCTTGCTGTCCCGGTAGGGGATGTGCATCCGCTTTCCTCGGGGCTTAGCCAGCAGGGAGATGCAGTGTCCTACAGGAAGAATGAACTGCAGAGCATGCAGTGGGGTGGCAGTTGGGTTCTGCAGCCCACAGGGTCCCTCAGCTCTTACCCAGGGCCAGGAGGCTGCGGTTGATGTTGTTGGCCTCCACGGAGAGCTCCCCGCTGGAGCCGGTGTCCTTCACTCGCTCACTGCCGGCCAGATCCACAAAGCACAGCGTGCCCTGCTTGCTGGTGCCAGGCTGGGGAAGCACACTGTGGATGATGCTGCTGTCCTGCATCCCACCCATCCCTCCCTCGTTGTGTAAACCCCTGAGTTTGGGATGTGGTCTGTGCCGCTCTGCCCAGCACCATCAAAGCATCCTTGGGGCTGGAGGACCCCCCCCCAGACCCCAATCCCCCATCCCTCCCCATGTCCCCACAGCAGAGGAAGGGCTCACTGCTCGGCTGTGGATGTGGATGGTCAGGATGGCGTGGCTGCGGCTCGAATGCCCATTGAGGGCGTGCGCAGAGGTCCGTCGCCTTTGGGAACCTGCTGGAACAGAAAGCTGCAGGGGGACCTGGCGAGTACCCCCCATGCATACCCCAGCCCCACAGCCCAGCACCTTGCAGGAGCAGCTCGATGACAGCCTCCAGGCTCTCAAACTCCACGCTGAGCTGGTTTTCTACGTAGAAACCACGAGTTTTGCTCCAGCGCAGGGGTAGGGAGCGTGGCGGCCCTGCACTCAGCAGATCCCTGACCTTGGGAGTGGCAGAGGAGTCAGGAGATGTCAGTGGGGTTGGCAGTGGGGCTGGCAGTGGGGCTGGGTGGGTGCTCACCTGCTCGTTGTAGATCTCCAGGTAGGAGGCACTGAGCGCCAGGCCGGTGCCACGGCTGTGCTCCAGGAGGCAGGAGAAGGACCGCTGCATCAGCCCCAGCAGCCCTGGGGCATCACTCTGAGGAGATGCCACGAGGTCAACGGATCACACCACATCAGCACCTGTCCTATTACTGGGTGCCAGCGTGGTACCTGTCCCAGAGGGCCCATCAGGGTGTAGGTTTTCCCCGAGCCTGTCTGTCCGTAGGCGAAAACAGTGCAGGAGAAGCTGGGGGAGATGCTGAGCCTCAGACACGGCCCCAGACCATGGCAGAGGGATGCCACCTCTCGGCACTGTCCGGGCAATGCAGACATCCTGGTGCCGTCTTTAGGGTGGGGGGCATATGGGGGCTCACCCTTCCACTGCCAGCTCCACCAGCTGCTGCATGCCGCTGCCCTCAAAGACGGCCTCCTGTGAGGCACCCGCATCAAAAACGGCACTGAAGGTGAAGGTGGCATCGTGCCTGGCTGCACTCACCTGGGCACGGGGACGGCGGTGGCTCAGGAGGGGGTCACAACCCCTGGCCCCACCGCGGGGAGGTGGCACTTACATGGACGGTGCCGTTGCCCAGGCTGTGCACCGCGTGCCGGTCACCCCGACGCGTCTCTGTGCAGGTTAGTGGTCGGACTCTGATTGGGGGGGAAACACAGAGGTGACACTGCGTGGGGATCCTCGGGGATCCCACTGTGATACCGGCCTGGGAAACAGGTGACACTGACCTCAGCACCACTCTCAGGCGTGTTTCTCTGCCCTCCTGCTCCTCGCCGGTGCTCCTGGGGGGAACAAGGGGCAGTGGGGTGGAGGAGGCACCCCTGGAAGAGGGACCTGAACATGCATGTTCCTCCTGCCCCACTGTGCCCCAGCAGATGGTAGGGAGTGATGTCCTACCATGTCCCCGTGCATGGACCCCCCTGTCCTTTCTTCCCTGGCCTTTTTGCAGTGGCTTTATCAGTGGTGGCTGCTCAGGCCCCGGGCTCAGCCCCTTCCATTTCCCCCAGACTTACAGTTGCAGTTGGCTCCGTGGGAGCATTTTGGGCCGTGTTCCTGCTTGGGGCCCCCAGCCCCGCTCCTCCTCTGCCTCCATTCTCCCTCAGCACCCCTCGCTCAGGGCGGCAGCAGTGCCTGTTTGGCCCCGGTGGGATCCACCAGCAGCCAGCTCTGTCTGCCCCACACAACCGGTACCACGGCTCCTGTTAAACATTGACTGGTGCCAGCCCTGCAGGAGGGCAGCATGGGGGGGGGGTGAGGCTGGGGGGCAGGCGACGGGTGCTGCATGGGGTCACTTCACCTCAGGAGGGATGTAGAAGGTCTCAGCATCAACTGCATTTCCCAACTTAGTGACACTGGATCTCCGAGCCTCCTTCATGGCTGGGGTCCCTATGGATCCGATGGGGGAAAGGCTTTGGGAACCGTCGGGTTGCCCAGTACCTGGGTAAATTGGAGTTACTGGTGCTGGGAAAGCAGCTCCTGGAGCTGTCGGTACAGGGAACTGCTGGGATTATGTGACACTGAGGGCACTGACGATGCCCCTGGGATGCTGCCGTCGGAGGGCACCAACCGGGACCGGCCCCAGGGAACCGCCGGGGGGGAAAGGCAGGGAGGGGGGAATCGATGAGCACCGCCCGCTCGGGGCGGTCCCAGCCCACCGGGAGAGGATAAAAGCCGGGCTGGGAGCGGGGCCGGGGGAGCCGGGCAAGATGAGCGCTGCCCCAGGCACCTCCCGCGCCCCACAGCCGCTGCTCCGCTTCCCCGACGGGGCGGGCGGTCCTGCGGCGGGGACGGAGAACCGAGCTCCGGGGCCCTTCCCCTGCCCGGGGGGACCAAGGAAGAGGCGGCGGACCACGTTCAGCCGGGGGCAGCTGTCAGAACTGGAGAGGGCTTTCGCCGCTGTGCCCTACCCGGACATCGCCACCCGAGAACGCCTTGCTGAGCTCACGCAGCTGCCTGAGGCCAAGATCCAGGTGAGCAGAGCTGGGACCCCCAAGACCCCCCAACCTCCCTCCATCCTTCCCGAGGTCCCCATCCTGTATTCCCGCCCCGTTGAATTGTTCCCATAGTCTCATGGTTCCCCCCATTCCCTGACCCAGGTTTGGTTCCAGAACCGCCGTGCTCGCAGGATCCGCAGCGCCAAACCGGAGCCACCACTGTCACCACCACCAGGGGAACAGGATCCGCCCGTGGTCACCCCCGAAAGCACCATCCCGGTCCCCACGCTGCCACCATCGAGAGCCCACAGCCCTGCATGGGGCCTCCCCACCTCGCTGGGCTCTATCTCTGACCTTATCTACAGTGCAGCCATCACCAATCTGGGCGAGCCGTAAGCGGGGTGCGCTGGGGCTTAATGCCCTGAGTTCATTAGGGTGTGGAATTACTGCTGGGCCCAGCGGTCCCTACGATGCCATCCAATATCCTAAATGCTGGTGCAGCCGTGACGGGGCCAGCTCCCAATCAGCCCCCCTAATACCAACTAATCTTTTGGAAAAAAATACCTTAATCTGAGGCAGGATCCGCGGATGATTGTGGCGTGGCCGCCCCTAATCCTCAGGCACGTTTGCAGGTGCCGGCAGATTTCCCCGTATCAGATATTAAAGCGTGTTCACTGAAGGGCTTAGCTGCCATCAGAGCATTAATCACCGTGTCCAGCTGTGGCACAGTGCCCACCCAGCAGGTGTCTGGATCCCCGAGGCCCAGCAGAGCCCCCTCCCCTCTGCACGGCCATGGGGGCACTCAGCGAGTTCCGCTCTCTGCTCCACGGCACCCCAGGCTCCTTTTGGAGCTGCCTTCCTTCCTCAGCCAGAGAAAATGGGTTTGGTATGAGCTGTGCTGGGAGTCAGGTGCCAACTCCAACGTGGTCACACCAGGCGTTGTCATGCTGGACAGATCTGTGTGGAAGGCAACCATCATCACGTACTGTCAAGCTGACAATGAGTGAGTACTGCTCTCCCTAAAATGGGCAGGGGACCAGGTGGGAGCAGGAAGGAGAGGCTAAGAAAGAGCCCTGGTTTGCACAGGAGACAGCAGGATGTGATGCAGAGGGAGAGGGAAGATTTATGGCTGGCTGTGATGTCTTTTAGAGGCCAGGTTAGCGTGTTGCATGGCAGGAAGGAGGTTGAAAACATACACTGTTACTTAATTCTATAATAAAATGACAGAAACTTTACAGAGTAACTGAGACAGCAACAGCTTGTAACCTCCTGTGTGCCGGGGTGGTAACATCCACTAGAGGACAGTCCAGAGATAAGATGCCCCAAACAAATGACTCGTGTAGTGGGCAAAAGCCTCCAGCAGGAGCCTCAATTGCAGGGGATGTGTGTGGTTATAGTTTCCCAAGGTCTCCTTCAATCGTGCGCACCATCACATACAGTTCAGCCAAGCCAACCACCGAGGCCACAATCACTGCTGACAGGACACGCTGTGGGTACAAAAAGAAAGAAAAGTGACCGTGTGTGTGTGTGTGTGTGTGTGTGTGGTTGAGCTGCTGCCTGGTGCTGGGCAGCATCTGCTGCTCCTGCCAACAGGTTCTGAGCTGGTTCTGAGGCCGTGGCCACTCACCGCCGCTGTCTCCACAAAGAGATACTGGCTGCCCAGGTATGTGCAGGCAAACGCAGCCACCACGGTGACAAAGAAGTTGAATATGGTGATGACTACAGCTTTAACAGAGCGAACTGCAGAGAAACGGGAGAGAGGAAGGATTGGTGAGGGGCAAGCTGTAATCCTGCTGGCTGAATCTGCCTGCGACTGCCTCAGCTGGGCTACAGGAATGCTTGGAAATTCACGTTTTACACCTCTAGAAATACTTTTCAGAACTACAGACTGGCCGCTCCTTTACTGGAGGAATACTTTGAGCATTTCAGGGAGGTGCTGTTGCTCAGAGAGGAAAGGGCTGGCTGAGGCCAACCACGAGTGATGTGATGGCTCCTCTGCCCAACTGCTCTGCTACGTACCATCAGGTGTCAGCAAGACAAACAGCCACTCACCTTGCCTCCCGAATTCAGCTAATGTCCCATGGTTCATATCCTAAAAGAAGGGATTAAAACAACTTGTGTTCCACTGTATTTTAACATTATTTGCAGAATAAAAGCAATAGCAAAACCCTGTCCAGTTTCTAAGACCTGCTGAGAGCTCTGGACAGCTTCTGCTGGGCCTTGGCAGCTGTTGGATGGGCTGCAGGGGAGCAGCAATTCCACAGGGCCCACATTTTTCTGGATTTATGCTTGTGGTCTGATTCATTGACAGCGAGAAGGGAAATTTCTAATCAAAGCATTTCTTGGGGTTTGAGCATGTTCTCAGATGGAGATTTGCATTTAACAGACCTTAGAGGGTCTTGCCTTGAATTGTGATGTGATAGCAGGCAATGCCCACATACACATGGGAGCATCCTGAACTTAGAAAGCCAGACTCAAACAAGAGATTGAGAGCATCAGCTTCTGCTCTTCATGTGAGCATCAGCTTGAAGATGAACTGATGTGTAACATCAACCTGGCAGCCTGGCTACTTTATTATTTTGCCCCTAAGATAGAGATGGATTTTCTTCCAACTTCCCCCCAGTTTTGCCTCGGGAGCACTGAAGGTACAGTGTTCACAGAATCACAGAACATCCTGAGTTGGGAAGGGATCCATAATGACCATCAAATCCAACAGAGAGAGCTGTCCAGCTGCTTCTTGAACTCCAGCAGCTCAGTTCCATGTCTGCTGCCCTAGGGAACTTGTTCCAGTGCCCCAACACTCTTTGGTAAAGAATGTTTTCCTGATATTCATCCTGAACCTCCCCTGCAATTGGACATGCTAGCGGGGGTTGGACATCCCTAGGTGGGAATTCTCCCTCCAGGCCCCTCACCTGCCTGGTGACGTTGCGGGTCATCCGCCGGTACTCCTCATTGGCCAGCTTGGCCTTTATCTGCTCCAGCCTGGCCACCAGCTCGGGGTTCTGCGGGAAAGCCGCAATCACAGTGAGGGCCTCGGGAGGTGGTGGCAGCTCCCAGCCCTTCCCCAGCCCTCACCTACCCGCGGCTGCACCGGCACTTCGGGCAGGGCGATGTCGCTGTCTCTCAGGAGCTCGTAGAGGAACAGCGGGGATCCTGCGGAGGGCAGAAAGGGGCGGTTAACGGCGACGCGCGGTGCGGCGAGGTGCGGCCCAACAGGCCTCGCGCGGCCTACCTGCCTCCCGCAGCCCGCTGTGCAGCCTCCGCAGCAAACTGAAGGGCACCACGGAGCCTTTGGAAGCCACGGCCTCCCGCAGCTCGTCTCGCAGCGCGGCGGGAAGCCCGGACAGCTCCTCGCTTTCCACCGCCCGCCTGAGCCGCGCTCCGGCCCGAATCGCCGACGCCATCTTGCCCGGCTAGTCGCCTAGGCAACGCGAAACACCATAGAGCTCCGACGTGCCGGCGGACTAGAGCGCCGCCGGGGGAGGAAGTGGGAGGGAGACACTTCCGGGAAGCGGAGGACCGGAAGTGGGCCCGCGCTGTAGTGTGGGCCGGCGGCGGGATGTCGGGCGGCGCGGCACGGCGGTACTTGGCGGCGGCGCTGGGTCGGTGCCGTGCCCGCGGGCTGCCGCTGTGGGAACCGCTGTGGGAGCCGCTCCCGACCCGCGTGCCGCGAGCTCTGAGCGGGGGGAGCGTCGCGGCCCTCTCGCTGCTGCCGCGGAGGCACCTGTCGTCGCGGTGAGGCCTGTGAGGGGCGGGCGTGACGGCGGGGTTCGGGTGGGTCGGAGGTTATTGGGGCATGTGAGGTGCTTTTGGTGTGCGTGGGGGGGGTCTGGGAGTGTTCAGGTGGGTCTGGGGGTGTTCGAGTGGTTGAGGAGTTGTTGGGGCGGGTGGAGGGGTGTCGATGTGGTTGAATTTTGGGGATTTTTGTGGTTGGATTTGTGAGGGGGTGTTGGTGGGTCAGGTTTTTTTGGTGCGTTTGAGGAGTGTCGGGGGTGAATGAGGGGGTATTAGGGTGGGTGATGGGGTATTGGAAGGGGTTTTGGGTTGCATCAGATGTTTTTGGGATGCGTGGGGTTGTTTGGGTTGTGCTTGGGTTTAAGGGAGGGGCATTCAGGTGAGTCAGGGACCCCAGGGGCAGGTGGAGGATGTTGGAGTGCTTGGAGAGGGATTACTGGGAGACTGGGGGTGACTGGAAAAGGGAGGGAGGTCTGAGGAGGGGGGGCACTGGGGCAGAGGGCAGTAGGTGCTCATGGGAACGTGTGAGGTACAGGGAGGGGGCTCTGGTGCTATGCATAGTGCTCCCAGCTCTGGGCACGCTGCCCAGCATGGCCCATGTGCTGCCCTGCACAGCCAGCAAAACCTCTGTCCGCTCATAGGAACCGTCTGGAGGGCAAAGTGCTGGAGACAGTGGGAGTGTTTGAGGCACCAAAGCAGCATGGCAAATACGAGACGGGTCAGGTGAGCTGTCCTGGGGAGCAGAGCATGGGAAAGAGCTTCACATCAGAAGGCTGTGGCATAGCAGTGGAAGGCCAGAAGTGTCACAGTTTGGTGTTTCTTGTGTCTGCTGTGTTGGCAGTTTGTCAGTCATCTGACAGTAGCAAGTTGATAAGAATCTGCAACATGCCACGTCTGTTCATACGGTGGTATTTGCTCTCCAGTTTTAATTTGTTTTCTCCCTTTAGCAGCAAAAGGGAGAACTGCTGAATCTGAGGAATAGCTAACCTTCTCATTTCTGCACATACGACTCTCACATGTTTCTGTGTTTCTGAGCAGTCTTCCATCCCTCTCTCCTTTCTGCACTTCTTTTGTTCCACTACTTTATTACTGGTTCAACCATTTGTTTTATGGGATAGAGGCATGACAAACTTGTACTCGTTTCACATTATGTTCCCTCTGTGTTTCTGCTGTAGTGATTGTCCTGTATTCCCATGTAACAAATTCTACTTTAGTTAACAGATATTTTTTTCTTTTGATACTTTCCAAAAGAGGCCTTGTGGGTTTGTGCTTTTTGTTGTATCTAAGAGTGAAGTTTGCTGTGTATTCAAATGCAACTGTTTGTTCCTTCCAGCTATTTCTTCACAGTGTGTTTGGCTATCGAGGAATAGTTCTGTTTCCCTGGCAAGCTAGGCTCTACGATCGAGATGTTGCTTCTCCTGTCACAGAAAAGTAAGAATTCTTTCTAGTTTATGCAGTTATATTGACACTTATTAGCAAGTTTCATGCTTGAAGCAATGAGGTTTTTTAAGGAGAACATTAGTATGGTTCTGTTTTATGTGAGGGTAAACTGGAATAGATGTGCTCAAACAAGATACTGCAGTAATTTTCTGTTAATTAGAGGCAGGATGATGGAAGGACGAAGGAAGAGAGCGTGTGTGTGTGTGAGAGTGAGAAATTGAAAATGGAATTGAATGACTGTGAAATGTATTTTAAGAAGTTATTGTTATGAATGTGCTCTGTCCTGGTGACAGCAGTTTGCTGCCATCCTGAAGTGAACTCCTTCCCCTTGTGAGCAGCAGATGAAGCAGGGGTTGGTGAGCACACACTGGAGCTCAGCGTTCTGCTTTTCTGTTTAGGAGCGAGAATGTAGCAGGCCATGGTTCCAAAGAGGTCAAGGGCAAAACACATACTTACTATCAGGTGCTAATAGATGCTCGGGACTGTCCACACATTGTAAGTAACCAATATCATCCTGGTATTGAAATTAAGGTATCTTCTCCAGTGTGAATGCTTTTCTCCCAGTGGCTATAAATCTATGTAGTTACTGTTCATCAAGTCATAACTGCCCTGAAGAAAGTGTCCTGGAATGTCGTGTGCTGGTTTTCTGGATTGTTTTTCCCCTTTCTAACCTTATTTCCTCATCCTTTTGGTGTTTCTATTTTGTTATGTGTAGGCAATTGTGAATGTGAGTTGCAGCACCAAGAATGTTTTTGAATTGAGGGAAGAATTAGTCTAGAAATATTAGGAAGTGAATCGGTCAAATGAAACAATTGTAAAGCACTGTAGGAAGAGCAATAGTAAACTGAAATGTCACTGGAAACTGGCCCCCAAAAATCTGCACTGAAAGACACAAACCTTCCTTTTCTCAGTCCCAGAGGTCGCAGACAGAAGCGG